CTGCGTACCTCCATCCACAATGCTTCCCAGGCTCTGATGTCCTGAGCACTAGCCTGGGAGCATGACCTATTGAATGGTTGATCAAGCTCAGGACAGATCCCAGGGCTCACTTCACCCATGTTGGGTAGACAGATGCTCCAGCCCACTGAAGCAGACAGACTCCTCAAGGTGCTGAAGATCCACCCTCAGGCAGTACTTTCCAGAGTTTTGTCCAGGGCATCATAACCAACTAATTAGGGCAATATAATAAAGTCCAGGCCAGCATGGACTACACAATAAGACTCTTTGCCAAAGGCAGAACAAACAGACGCCACAACACCAAGACGGCTTTCCAAACCCCAAACCTTCCCTGAGTCGTAGCTTCTGAGGTGGAGCCCAGCTTTCAGAAGTGATGGCCAAGTTCACATCCAATCACTGCTCTTTAACCAAGTCCCATAACTTTGCCAAAGCTGTTTCCTGGTCTGTAAAACAGACGTGACAATGGTCTTGTTGGGGCGCTAGAAGAGTTCCGTGTGATAACGAAAGTACCCAGCACACTGCTCTGCAGACTCAACAGTGTGGACTGTTACCACAACAGCCCTCTCATGCCCTGAGACTTTCAAGTGAGGAACAGACTGTTGATGTTCTATTTCAAGGAGGGGCCCTGTTGAAGGTTTTCTGGACAGCGGGAAGCCTTGGTCTGGGAGGGCTCTTGCCCAGCAAGCCATGCCACCTAGTGGCTGTAATGTGGGAACAGGCCCAGCCCTGGAGCTTATATTCAGCTGAGGTCCAGGTCTCAGCTTGCCATAGCTTTTACTCTGCCTTCCTCCCACTGGCAGCCTCCCATCCTACCCCATTGCCCTGGAAGTTTAACTGGCTCAGCACCAGCCCTGGCACCTCCCACTAGTTCAGTAATGAAACAGGAGTCTCGGATCAGCTTTCTCTGGCAGGAAGGTCACCTGGCACAAAAGCAAGCGGCAGGGAGGAAACCTGAGGAAGACAGCTCCATTCATGACCGCCATTTATTATCCTGAATTGTCAAGGAGTCTTTTTCATTCTTTCACGATTGATTCCTATTTGGGATTTTATGGTTTTGGTTTTTCTTTCTCCAGGTTTTTAAATTATTATTATTATTTTGTCTCCCAGTAGAATTGTTTTGTAGGCCAAACTTATTGGCTAAAATCCTTACACCTACCTTAACAGGACAGACAATATCTATATTTATATCTGAATCTATGACCAGATCAATATCATAGATACTGGGGCTTAAACCTAGGCCTTCAGACAAGCTGGGCAGTCACTGTACTACTGAGCTGTAAACCGATCCTAATATCTCTATTTAAAACAATCAGCACTGACCATGCTCCAGTGAGCTTATGGGCAACACATAAGGCCTTGTTTTTGTTTTTCCCTTTTCTCTTTTCTGGTGGTGCTGGGGTCACAAGGGCAGGAGAGTGAACCTAGCAGGACTGGGAAGTGAGTGTGGTCGGGGTGCATTATGTGAAATTCCCAAATTATAAATAAAAATATTACATTGGATTAAAACAAACAAATAATCAGCACCTAGGGGGTCACCCAGTTAGTGAGTGGCAGAATGAGGATTCGAGATAAGTCATGGCCAAAACCTCACATTCTGAATCTCATCACTCAACGGAGCTCATTTCACCCAATAAGACGAGGACACAGAGGCTTTGAGCCATGCAGTCCGTTTTCAGCAGTGGTAAAAGCAATGCTGTGCCAGGAGGCGTTTATGAGTTCAGCAACGTTCTGTCGGTACATAGGAAGCAAGCCCCAGGTCCTGGTGGGCTGACTCCTGCTCACTTGAAGCTCCCAGGCTGCTTAAATAGAGGTACACATTTCCATCTCTTCGCTGTGATACAGACTATATGAAGCACAATACAAGGGTACAATGTGTGTTAAGACACTGTCATGCTCAGCTTGAGGAGCAGTAACAAAACACCATAGACCGGGATGCTTAAACAGATATTTATTTCTCCAGTCCTGGAGCCTAGAAGACCAAGGTCAGGGTGCCAGCCAGTTTGTTCTGTTGAGAGGACTCTTCCGGGTTTATAGATGGCCACCTGTAAGTGAGAATTTTGGTTTCTTTAAAAGACCCATTTATGCTAACGTTTTTGTTTTAAACCCAGGTGTGGGACATGGGGCTGCTTCAGTTTGTCCACAGCTGTTAACTATGATCGCTAGTGCTCTAGGAAGGCTGTGATTTTTTGCCAGCTGCAGATAGCTTACATTTGGAATTTGGGGAACTCTGGAAAGGGTATAAGCTGGGGGGGGGAGCCTCCAAAGGGCCTGTGGCTGCGGCTGCTCCCCTGCTGCTGCTGGTTCCTGCTGCTGCCTTTGTTATTGCCAGTTTTCTGGATGCTGAAGGTTCTGGTGAAGATGAAGACTGGACTTGCCATCAGGAGCTTGATACCCGTAATTAGCAGGAAGTAGTCTAAAGCGGTCTATGTCCCCCTTTCCCTCTAACCTTCTTTCTCTCCTACCTCATGTTGGGGGGTTGGAAGGGGTTAGTGCTGAATAAGGTTTGGAAGGGTGTAGATACAAGAATCCAATAAAGTAGCCCCCACAAGTATGCCTACAGCCACCTTCTTGCTGCGTCCTCTCACAGTGAGGACAGAAGTCATCTCTCTCACATATTTTTTTGAGATATTGAGGGTCAAAACCACATGTTTACACATGGTAGGCAGCACTGCTTCTCTGGGCTGTATCACCAGCCCTCCAATATCTTCCTTACATGGCCACTGATCCACCATAACCAGTCCTTATACAGGCAGTGGCCACCATAAAGCCTATATCTTCATGATCTAATTACTTCCCAAGTACTTTACTAAGTGTATGTGTATGTCATCACCTTCATGACTGTGACTAGATGAAATTCGAGGAGACCCAGACATTTAGTCCACAGCAAGTACAGACTGTGAGTAGTTAGGGGTCAGGATGTGGGCCCTGGAAAGGCAAAGAGTACTGTGTCAGGGAAGAGATTTGGACAGAGAAGGTGACAGAAACAAAGAGAAACCTGACAGGGCCTCTTTGAGGACCAGGAAGGAGCCCAGGCTTTGTATTTGTTTGGAGACAAAATTTCACTAAGTCATCCTGGCTCATCTGGAATGTATGCTACGCAGAGCAGGCTAGCCTTGAACTCCCAGAAATACAGCTGCCTCCTGAGTGCTGAGATCAAGGGATCCAAATTGTGAGGGTCTAAAATGTACCGATAAAAACAGTGAAGATATGAAAGGTGACAACAAGTTAGTTGAGGGCAAGTGTGGTTAGGAAAAGATGATCAGGGAGCTAGAGAGATGGCTCAGTGGTTAAGAGCACTGTCTGCTCTTCCAAAGGACCGGGGTTCAATTCCCATCACCCACATGGCAGCTAACAACTATCTGTACCACCAGTTCCAAGAGACCTGACATCTTCATACTAATGCACATAAAAAGAAAGTAAATAAGTCCTTTTAAAAAAGGAAATGATGATCATGTATGTTAGGGACTTTGAAAAAAAAAAAAAGAGTATAAAGTACTTCTAGTCTGTTCTTGACTCTGATCCATTGTGCCCAGGTCTATGCTGTGCAGATTTGAACAAGGCACTTTACACCTCCAAGGCTTGCTTTTCTCCTCTCTGACAACCAGGCCCAAGTGTTGCAGCTGTGCAGAGATTTCTACAAAACTACATAAATGAAAATGCTGTGTCTCTAACTTTTGGTCCTCAGTTTTTCCTCTGCAAAATGGGTGAAGTCCTGTCCAGCCTAACTGGGGGAAAGGGTGCTGTAGAATATATTTGTGTGAGAGCCAATGGCAAGACTCCGACCGATGAGTCTCTGCTGAGTACTTTTTCCTGACACCATTGTTTGCTTGTTTGTTTTGCTTTGTTTTGAGACAGGGTCTTCTGTATCCCAGGCTGGCTTCAAACTCATTCTGTAGCTAAGGATAACCTTGAACTTCTGATCCTTCAGAAGTTGGATTTCAGGCACACCAGAGTAGGTGAATGTGGTTGCTGGGACTGAACCTAGAGTTTCACGAGTGTTAGGTAACACTCTATCAACTGCTACACCTCCAGCTTCTAATCCCACATCTAATACTAACCACAGTATTTCATTTGTTTGTAACAGAGACATTCATAAAAGGAAATGACTTTAATAATAATAATAATAAACACAAAAAGAAGGCTGGAGCCTGTAATGTCTATGGTAGATCACTTGCCTTGCATGCATGTAGCTCTAGGTTCAATCCCCCGTACTGGGAAGTGGAGCAGGGAAGATCATAAACACACCTGCCAATTGTCCTAGCAGGTTAAGAGATTGCCCTGTAAAACCTGCTAATCCTAGTCTGATCCCAGACTCCATACAAAGGTGGAAAGAGAGAACTGACTCCTAAGAGCTGTTCTCTGGGATGCACACAGCTACACTATACAAAGACAAATACATATTTAATTAGAGAAACAAAACACAACAATGAAGAGGATGCCAGCTTGGTGTGGTTTGTTCCTGCAATCTCATCTCTTGGGAACTGAAGACAGGTGGCCATCCTAGACTCTCTAAGTGAATTCCAGGCCAGCCTTGGTTACACAACAAGACTTTATTTCAAAATAACAGTGAAATCCCTGCACTTGGGAGCTCGAGGCAGGCAGATCGCTGAGTTCGAAGCAAGCATGATCTATATATATATCGTGTTCCAAGCTAGCTAAGGGGTGCATAATGAGACCCTGTCTCAAAAAAAAAAAAATCAAACCCCCAAACCCGCTAATCCCAGCGTTCCAGAGGCCGCGAGTGCTCGACCAACATGGACAACAAGGTCTGGCATTAAACACACTCTCAGAACAAAAGAAAAAGTAAAGAAAAAGTAAAGAGAAAGAAAACCCAACCAAAAAGCAAGAAGCGACTGAGACACAGCCTGCTAAGCTATTTGGTCACGCAGCTTCTTGTGCTCCGCCCCGCCGGCGAAGCCCCCAATCAGGAGCGAGCGTTATCGTGACGTCATCTGTTCGCGACGGAGCGGGCTGCGGCCGCGTTTCCTTCCCTGAACCGTGGCTCTGAGGCCATGGGCAGTCAAGAGGTGCTGGGCCAGGCGGCTCGGCTGGCCTCATCGGGTCTCCTGCTGCAGGTACTCTGCTGCGCCAGCTCCAGCGCGTGGTGCCGTTGCCAAGCCTCTCGGGGAGGCTGTCCTGGGTCCCCGCACTACAGGGGTTCCGCAGATTACGGCGGCGGGGAGGGGCGCCGGGCCTAGGAGTTGGGACGCTGCAGTCCGAGTCTGGGCTGAATGACTACACACTTGCCATTTTCTTTCTGGACATTGTATTTCCTTGTGGCAATAGGAGACAGTTTAATCAAGTGGTAGAGGCAGAGGCTACTTACTGCTCATGAATCTGATATTTTAAGGGGCTCATCACTTGTGTGTTCCACTCTTGGTCCTCAAGACACCTTTCTTCAAATGATTCGCATTGAGTTTAGAGAGATCATATGGCATAGCTAAGAACAGGGATCCGGGTTCAGGCATTTCTCGCTGCGTGACCCAGACAAGTCATTTCAGCCCCGGAGCCTTTAACAACTTTGTGACAGAATGAGGGTAAAAGTATCTAATTCAGAAAGCAATTTGCAAGGATTGTTTGGGATCTTTTGAATAAGGGCACTTACTAAGTATGCACTCAATAAACTGCATCTGCTGTGTGTCCTTGGACAAACCATTTTTGACATTTTATTTTCGCCAAGTGACACTTGCCCATTCATCCACATAGTATCTAAAGAGTCTTTCATCCCCTAAAAAACAGTTCTTGTAAGTCATGATCCTCATTTTTTTCGATGTCTTATTCTCCAGCTTATCAACCCGACTTCACATAAGTTCAGAATCTACCTTCACCCCTAGAAAGGCACAAAGGGTTTAGGAGAGAGAACCAGGCTCCGTTAGACTCAAGTTAGATGACTGCTTACAGATAAGAATTACTTGGGTTAGGTGGTGGTATAGCCTAAACACTCAGGAGATAGAGGCAAGTGGTTCTCTGCGAGTTCAAGACCAGCTGAGTTCCACTCCTGCTAGGGCTACATAGTAAGACCCTGTCTCAAAAAAAGTTAAAATAAAGTCGTTTGACTTTTCTGAGCATCAGTATATACTTTTTTTTCTTTCCTTCCTTTTTTTAAACAAGATCTCTCTATGCCTCCCTGGATGTCCTTTAACTCACTGTGTAGGCCAGGCTGGCCTTGAACTCGGAGACCTGCCCTGCCTCTAGGTTTATAGGCCTGCACCACCACTCCTGGCTTTTGAAATTATTTTCTTGAGGAAAGGTTTTGCTATGTAGCCCAGGCTGGCCTTGAACTCTTGATACTCTTGCTTCAGTTTACAAAGTGCTGGAGTAACAGGCACACACCACCATCCTAGGCCTGCTACCTCATCTTGGATGAGAACAGTAATGCAGCCTCACGGGGTCATGAGGAAGATTAGATGAAATAACTTCTGTTATGTCCTGGCACATTGCAAGGTGCTTAGTAAGTATTACTGTAGTAAGTTTGTAGATGGCAGCGTAGGGCTAAGGGAAGGGAAGCTACATAAAGGATATAGAAAAGTGCCTTGCGTAGTACGCTCTTAATGAATGCTGGCTGCTCTTCATTTGACTCTGTTTGTCTAGTTCTTTGTTTTCCTGCCTCACAGTATACGTAAGTTTAATGTGTTATACCTAGTGTTGATTTTTTTTTTTCCACCTTTGGTAATATCTTAGTACCTAGGTTAGCTTTGGAAGACAGACACAGGTTCTAGTAGCAGAGACACTGGAGTAGGGGCAAGTGACCTAAGTTAAGCTGGGTCACCTCTTTGCTGTTTGATGTTAGGCAGATTGTTTCATTCTGAGTTTTGTTTCTGAGGCATTTGCCTGGTTGTCATTTGATGTTGGGAGTTGAACCTAGAGCCCCACATGTCCTAAGCAAGTGCTTTATCACTGAGCTGAAGTCTCTGTCCTGGTTGCCTTTTATTGTTGTTTTGCTTTTGAGACAGGGTTTCACTGTGTAGCGCTGGGTAGACTAGAATTTTCTAGGTACACCAGGCTGGTCTCAAATTCAAAGAAGTTTGCCTACTTCTGCCCCATGAATGCTGGAATTAAAGATTTGACTAGCCTGCTTGGTTGTTTTTAAGAGTCAAATAATTAACAGATGTTAAAGCTTTTATAAATGTAAAGTTTTTTTATGAACATAAATGGAGATTATGTTGCTAAAAGGGCCGCTAGGTGGACTTAAAACACTAGGTAGCCCTAGGAACCTGGACTTTATTAGCCCAAACCTTTTTCCAGACCAATTAGAAGATATTTATATGATCTAAGACCTTAAATGTCTTGGACGATAATAACTTCTTAAATGTACAATTTGCTTTTGTTGTTTGTTTGTTTGTTTGTTTGTTTGTTTTTTGCCCTGAGACAGGGTTTCTCCCTGTCCCCCTGGCTGACCTGGAACTTGCTCTGTAGACCAGGCTGTCGTCAGACTCAGAAATTGGCCTACTTCTGCCTCCCAGAGTGCTGGGATTAAAGGCACGCACCACTACCACCTGAGTAAATGTACAGTTTGTAATCAGCATATATTATTGTACAAAATGATGGGTTTTACAATCCTGTGTGTGTGTGTGTGTATATATATATATATATGTATTTTTTAAATTGTCATAAAATATAGATTACTTGAATATTTTAGTTCAATCTTATATGCTTCCTTAAGTTATAATGTTGATACGTAAGGTAGCTTTGCTGCTACATTTTATTATGTAATTTGTCTGAGCTAGTCACAATGTAAGTTTTATTGCCTTTAATTTATACAGTCAAAATGTTTTTTATAATCTTATTTTACCCTTGTAATCAACCTTATGAGATATTTAGCCTTTTTTGACAGAAAATTTGGGCTTGTAAAAATTAGAAGATGATGGATGCATTTAAGAGCTAAGTGATGGGTTGAGATTCAGCTGAGAACTTTCTTTAGTAAGACCATGAATTGGCTTCCATCCACCAACACCAAGTGCAGAATTTGGCAAGCATATATGAACATATATATATATATGTAATATATATAATCATGTAATATATATATTACATGATTTTAAGAGACTACATAGCTTTCATCAGATAAAAAAGATCATTTCTGACTCCATAAACAGGGTGGTAATCTTGGCACTGGAGACCTTGCCATTCTGTGACACTTTAGGAAGAGTGTTAATGGCCCAGAGATTTTCAGACCATGGTAGTCCTCTAGTCTACACTGATTGAATCTTCCAAAATGGCAACTGTGTGTATGGGTAACCCTGAGTGTGCTTAACACAGAATTGACTTGTCATTTGTGGCTGGGATTAGGAGACAACATGAGTGAAACTTGCATTCTATTCAGCAGCTCCATTTGGTAGCTCCATTTAATTGTGGGCTCTTGTTCTATGCCTCATGGGGTGGACTCTTTGTTTAGGTGGTTTTCTTTTTTATTTTTACTTTTTAAGATTTATTTATTTATTATTTATACAGTACTCTGCTTGCATGTATGCCTACACACCAGAAGAAGGCATCAGATCTCATTATAGATGGTTATAAGCCACCATGTAGGTTGCTGGGAATTGAACTCAGGACCTTTGGAAGAACAAGCATTGCTCTTAACCCCTGAGCCATCTCTCTGGCCCCCTTTGGTGGTTTTCTTTAATGGACAGTTTTGAAAGTCTCAGGTTGTGTTCCTGTTAAATGACAATAGCTAGACTCTGTTATCCCACTCCCATTTTACCCTATTACTATGAGGACAATTCAAGGAAATTGAATGTCCTTGAAATCCCTAAAGATTGTGAGGCAGAGAAGAAATTAGACCCCAGATTCCTAGCTATACTCTGCAAACTCTTGTTTTAGTGTATACAGTTTCTAAATAGGATTTTGGGAGTGTCCATTCTTTTGCCATGATCATCTAAAAATGTGTTAGGTTGCATCCACAGCTATCTTGGGACCCAAGTGACCCATAGGCTATGGTTGGATATGTCTGGAGAAAGTTTAACTAGAGCCCTGAACAATGTGAACCACCATTACGGTTTTCTCTCTGACTCCTTGACTTTGAGCCTAAAGCTTCAATCTGCTGAGGCTCCTCTCGTTAGTAAGTAAGGGAGATTCCCAACCATCTTCTTGGGTTCTTGGCCCCACTGCTCAGGATGGTGAGAGACTAAGGGATTACAGTTCACAGGAAGCAGGAAAGGTGAGCTGAGCATGTTAGAGAAGGCTTCCTAGCAACGCCCCTTTGTCATCACACCACATTGGGAAGGATGGCCACATGGCCGTCACTGCAGTAAAGCCAACACACTTCAAATGTATTTTCTTACAGGTATTGTTTCGATTAATCACCTTTGTCTTGAATGCATTTATTCTTCGCTTCCTGTCAAAGGAGATTGTGGGCATAGTGAATGTCAGGTAAGAGGAATGCACCCTGGCACTGCCCACAGCTCACATCACGAGTCCCAGTGTCTGCCAGATTGTACCCATATCATTTTAGAATCACATGCCTTGCCCAGCAGCAGAGCCATTCAGCAGTGAGCTGAGGAGGCGCGCAGGCGGGGGATGAGCGGGCGCTGCTGTGGCTAATGGACCCATGCAGTGTTTTCCATTAGCAGCCTCCATGTGCACACTTCTCCCCTAGCCATTCCGGTTTTTCTGCCCTCAGAACCTAGGAGAAGAGTGGGTGTAATTCATTGCCAACCTTGTCACAGGTATAATCCTGTGTTCTTGTCCTGCTGACACGGCACAGGAAGCAGGAATTCTGCAGGTCGTGAGGATGTGCCTCAGAATTACAGGGCTGGAACAGCGCCTTCAGTTCTTCTGCAGTGATTTTGTAGTTGAGATGGTAACTGGGATCAGAGCTTGAATTCTTGTGATTAATTCTGTGGAATGTGAACTTGTATTGTCTTTAAAAACTCAGCTTGTTTCTTCTCTGCTCTAGGACGCCCACACTTATTTTGTCTTCATAAAGACACACACACACACACACACACACACACACACACACACATACACACACAAATGTATGAAATAATGCTCTTAGAATAGCTCAGCTTCTCAGGTGTTCCTTCATAGCCTGATAAACAGAGACAGTATGTTTTAGACAGAATCCCATGCCTGGTATTTACCAACAAAATGCCCATGGTGTTTTTCAAAGAGCCTAATGGCAGTTCTCAAACTTGTGATTAGCAAAGCAGTCACCTGAAGCTTTGTACTAGGTAGGGTTCATAGTCTCAGGAGGCAGTAGTGAAACAGAGAGGAATCATTGAGATACACTATTTAAAAAGTAGGAAGAACGAGGGGTCAGATTTTTCTCCCCATGCATTCTCCCCCAGATTTCCAGGTGCCTGCCGTGACAGCCTTTGCCTGCTCTTCCCCCACAGTTTAAGGTGTGGCTTTGTCTCCTCAGCTGCAGTGTTGAATGGGCTCCTGGGGCACAGGTGCCACTTGAGGAGGCAGCCTCATAGGTCACTGGCTGCAGAGGCAAGGGAAGCTTAGCTGCTTTTTTCTAGCTGCAGGAAGACTCACTCAGGTGCTGTCCACCTGCAAGGCACTTAGGCCAGCCTTCCTGAGTTGCGGTTGCAGCAACCTCTGTAAAGGCTGCCTGCTTTGCTGTTTGGCCTGAAACTCTTGGCTAGCACCACCATATGATGGAACCTGTTTCTCTCACAGAGGCTCCATTGTCACCAGGAGGTCTCCTTAGTATGCGGGTGCTAAGCTTGTCTTTTTCTCCTTACAGTCAGGACCATACCTCTGCCTACAGCTGCAGGCTCTCTGGTCACTGCAGTGCTTTGCTATCTCAGAGGTGACAAGGCGCCTTGTTTGGTTCCTGTTTTCCATGTGGGTTGGACTGGTGGGGGTCTTGTAAGAGACTGGTAGTTTTGGGATTTGTCTTGTCTTTTCTGCATAAGTGCTGGAGATACTAGGCAAGTGCTGTACCACTGAGCTATATCCTTAGTCTCCTTTTTACTTTTTATTTTGAGATAGGGTCTCACTGAGTTGCTCAGGCTAGCCTTGAACTCATTCTGTAGCCCAACAAGCCTTGAACTTGAGGTCTTCCTGTCTCAGCTTCCCAAGTAGTTGTTGGAATCACAGGTCTGTGCCACCAGGCTCACCGCAAGTGGCTTATGACCAGTAACTTTTCTTACTCCTGTTGCTAGGAAAATCCCAAAAGTTCAATAAAAATTAAAAACAAGCCTAGAGGCCATAGCAATTTCTGCATTTACTTTGTAGGCTAACACTGCTTTACTCGACTACCATCTTCCTGGCCAGGGAGGCCTTCCGAAGAGCTTGTCTGAGTGGGGGTGCCCAGCGGGACTGGAGTCAGACCCTCAACCTCCTGTGGCTCACGTGAGTTGTGCTTTAGCAAATGACATGTGCCAAGAGTGTTGTAGTGAAATGACAGTACCTGCCCAAAGCCAGTCGTCTTCAGGCTGGCTTTGCAGTGGGTTTTGGCGAATAATTCTAGCAGCAGGAAGGGGAGAGTGTCTGAGTTGGAGGTGCTGTTTAGTTTCTCTCTAGTAGCTGGACCTCCTGCTCCACTGTTTTTATTTCTCATCTTTTGCCCTATAGTTTCTTTTGAGCTTTTAGCAACTACTTAATATTTTTAAAAAGTCTGTTAAGGCTTTCTTTATACCTTTCTTCAGTTCTTTGGAATGTTCTTGTAGACAAGTATGTCAGCTGAAAATTAAAATGGTTTTCTTCAGCTGGATCCCTGCAGGGAGGCTGTTGGTGGAGGTGTTTCCCAATGCCGCCCTTGCATAACTCTTGCCTCACAGAGAGGCCTGTCAGAGGGCTGGCAAGCGTTCATTTTATTAGCAAAATGACTGCCAACTGTGCAGTCATATTTAAGTGCCCTGATACACACACATGAAATGAGTACCGTGCTGGCGACTATTAGTTATTTGGAGTGCAAGACAATGAATAATGTTTCTCAGCCATTCTAAGCATAGGCAACATTTTTTTTTTTCTGGAAATTTGCCTTATTGACTTAATTTAAACCAGTGGTTGTAGTGTAGGCATTGGAGTTAGGTCAGGATTGAGTCCTATTCCTGTTCTTGACCACCTGTTCATAACCTTGGCCAAATTACCTGTTCCTTTTAGCCTCCGTTTCCTTCTAAATGGGGATAATGACTGGGGATCATTGTGAAATGTTAGTGAGATAAAGGGTTTAATCATAGTGGCAGGCGTGTAGGTGATACGTGCATTTTCTGCTGACCTCTTACTAAATACCTACTATCTTCTTACTATGGTAATTGTTTTTATTGTAACTTATGTTTTACTATTTTTCTAATACTTAAAACTCCGTATATTAAAAAAACATTTTTTTCTGTTCTTCTAGTGTCCCCCTGGGTGTGTTCTGGTCCTTACTCTTGGGCTGGGTCTGGCTGCAGTTGCTTGAAGTGCCTGATCCAAATGTGGTCCCTCACTATGGAACTGGAGTGGTGCTGTTTGGCCTCTCGGCAGTTGTGGAGCTTCTGGGAGAGCCTTTCTCGTTCTTGGCACAAGCACATATGTTTGTTAAGCTCAAGGTCAGTTAACCTCTTGTGAATAGGAAACATGAGCAATAAGGGAAAGTATGGGGTTCTGATGTTATTGATTGTTTTGGGACAGGGTTTCACCATATAGTCCTTGCTGGCCTGGAACTGACAGAGATCCACCTGCCTGTATCCAGACTACACTGGCTGTTCTTCCAAAGGTCCTGAGTTCAATTCCCAGCAACCACATGGTGGCTTACAAGCATCTATAATGAGATCTGCTGCCCTGTTCTGGTGTGCAGGCACACATGCAGGCAGAACACTGTATAAATAGTAAATAGATAAATCTTCAAAAAAAGATGGAGAGCCATAGAGAAAGACACCTGACTTCATCACTGGCCTCCAGGTAGCAGACACATGTTCCTGCTGCACACACATGCACGTGTATGAATGTGTCAAACACACACACAAAGCTTGGGGGTAACTTCTGTATATTGTGAATGAAAAACAGGTCTGTAATAGGGAGGATAAAAGTTGAATTGATTATACACACACACGCGCGCGCGCGCATACACACATATGGAACTAATATATATGCTTAGGAACCACCCACCTTAAGAAATAAAGCATTATTATTGATGCTTATGTTCAACCATGTGCCATTCTGCCTGCCAGGGTAACCACCATGCTGAATTTTGTGTTTGTTGTGGCTTTTCGTATTTCCTCTTTGATAATATTGCACCTTTACCTCTGTGTGTAGGTTCTTGCTGAGAGCATGTCGGTCATCCTCAAGAGTGTCCTGACAGCTCTTCTTGTACTGTGGTTGCCTCACTGGGGTCTATACATTTTTTCTTTGGCTCAGGTGAGAATCACGGCTTTGCTCTTTACTTAATCTAAATTTTGTTTTCCCTTCTTGCTCCCACTAGCAAGTGTTTTATGCTCACAGTATTCATGCTATGGCAATAGTAAACTCCCAGATTTCTGGCCTGCCACTACTCCTCTAGCTGCTGTATCCATCCTGTTTGACACACTGGCACCACAAGTGTCCTTAGGGACGGGGGAGGGTCATATGTTTTCTAATCATCCAGCATCAGAAACTCCTTTTAGACATTCTGTGGGCAGGTCTGTATCAGACTGATCTCAATTGTCTAACAGTCTATGGAGGAGCAGGGGGAAAAGCAAGGGGGTGGAGTGGGAGTCAAATTGTATGTGTATTATTTTCCTTGAATTTCAATCAGTTGTTTGCAGAATAGGAGGAAGTGCTGCCAAGTATATTTTAAACTTAGATTGAAATCTCACATAATTCAGAGAGAATGAACCAAGTTCAAGCAAGTACATTTTCAGTTTTAGCAATTTCGGCTCCATCTTATAATCTAGGTATAGTCCATAGTTCGAGCTCTAATAAAGATATTGCTGGAATAAACGTACCATTTTTAAAAATTAAGCCTAATGCTGGGCATGGTAACACATGCCTCAAGAGACAGAGGCGGGCAGATTGCAGGGCATGGTGGCGCAAGCCCTTTAATCCCAGCACTAGGGAGGCAGCGTGCTGGGTTAGAGGCCAGCCTGGCCTTGAACTGCAGCAGTGTCCCTACGTGAGCCTCAGAATTACTCCATTGGAGGCGTAACCTTCCAAGCCTGGACTTGGAGTCTGCAGCCCTTAGTGTTGAGAAGGAGAGGAAGGTGCTAAGGAAGCAATGACTTCTTTAGCGTTCTTTCCTGTGTCCTCTGAAATCTACTGCTCTTTTTTGGAACACAAGGTGATTAGATTTAAAAATAATTAAGGATGAAGATTGCCCATAATACCAATTTGCAAATAGATATATAGTTTAGAGAAATTACCTGTGGTTATATTTTCCTTATCCTATTGGACCTAGTACTGTAGTTTTCATCGTTATCTTTGTTTTTATGCATCCTCTCTAGTAGCATAGAAGAGCCTCAGAGAGACCCAGTATTCTTGGTTCTTACTGTGGGAAAGGCACTTGGCACTGTATAGGGTTTTGTTTTGTTTGTTTTTGTTTTTTCAGGACAGGTTTTTTTTTCTGTGTACCCCTGGCTGTCCTAGAACTGACTTTTTTGTTTGTTTAGTTGTTTTTTTGTTTGTTTGTTTGTTTTTTTCCAGACAGGGTTTTACAAAGACTCACTCTGTAGACCTGGCTGGCCTCAAACTCAGAGATCTGCCTGCCTCTGCCTCTCTGAGTGCTGGGATCATAGGTGAGTGCCACCACACCCAGCTCACTGTGTGTTTCTGATGTTACAGTTTCTACCCATGATTGGGTCATAGTTCAATGAGAGGAAACTGAACTCATTTGTTTTCTTGCTCTGAGACTTCTACAAGCTCCACAGGACAGTCACTGCCAAGTGTGAATGAATCAGTGACACATCACAGTAGCAAGTGAGCTCTGCCCAGGGCACTGAGAGTCCACTTGTAAACCTGCCTCCAAGGTCTTTCTTAAACTGCCTGTAAAACTCACCTCAGAATAAATAAGGAATGTAAACCTGACAGTGAAAAGACAAGCCACTCAGTTAAAACTGGGCAAAAAGCTGGGTGTGGGAGCACACACCTGTAATTCCAGCACTTAGGGAGGCAGATGCAGGCAGATAGCCAAGAGTGTGAGGTCAGCTTAGTCTATAAAGCAAGTCCAGGACAGCCAGGGCTACACAGAGAAATCCTGTCTCAAAAAACAAAACAAAACAAAAACCTGGGCAAAGAATTTGAACAGACATTTTCTCAAAGAATATATAAAATAAATGGACAAAAAGCACATGGAAAAAAAACTTCAGGATCAATAATTATTAGGAAAATGCAAATCTAAACCATAGTGAGGGCCTGGCCTTTAAACCCAGCATTTGAAAGGTAGAAGCAGGTGGAATTTTGGGAGTTCAAAGCTAATCTGGTCTGCCTTGTGAGCTCCATGATAACCAGGGCTACACAGGAAATTTAACTAAAAACAAACAAAAAGATAAAAATAAAACCACAGTGAGCTGTCACTTCATACATACTAGGGCGGGTATTTTTGTTGTTGTTCAGTATAGAATACTGTAGGTAAGGTTGGGAAGAAATTGAAATTAGTACTTTTCTGGTTTACACATAAAATAATGCAGCTTCCATGAAAAGCAGCATGACAGTGCCTCTAAAAATTAGACAGATACATCGTATGACCCAGCATTTCCACCCCTAAGTATATATACCAAAGAGAATGTTCATAACACTATTCCCAGTGCCCAGCGTGCAGACGTCACAAATAACCATTAACTAATGAATTGGATAAACAAGTTAGTTTGTCCATAGAATGGAATATTATTTAGTCTAAGAACTGCCATGTATGGTGGCATACATGTAATCATAGCACTCTGGAGGCTGAGGCAGGAGGAACAGTGCAAGGTTGAGGTCAGCCTAGTCTTCAGAGTTTCGGGACAGTCAGTTCATGGTAAGAACAAATAAACAACTATTGATGCATTCTACAATGTAGATTAAACCTTAGAAACATTATAGTAAGTGAAAGAACTAGTCAGGCACAAAAGGCCGCACATTGTATGTTCCATTAATATATAATGTGCAGGATAGGCAGGGCCACAGACACAACACATTAGTGGTTGCTAAGTGCTGAGGGAATGAACAGTAATTGCTTAAAGGTTGCGGTTTCCTTTTGGGGTGATGAAAATATTAAGGAATTAGATAGTGCTGATGTGTTGCTGGTTTTACCACAATGTAAGTGTACTACAAGCTACTGAATCCTATAGTTATAATGGTAATATTTATTCTGTGACTTTCTCTTGATGGAGAAAAATAGCAAGGGTCTTTTGGCTAGGGTCCCCGCCTTTAGATAGTCACCATTCCCCAAAACTCTGCTCAGCAGGAAAGCGAGGAGAGGTGGAGAAGCACACTTTTCACAAGGATATGAGCAGTGGTGCTGTGGCCCACAGTGCTTGTTGGTTAAGGCCTTGAGCCTGAATGAGGAAGGCTGGAGGATGGCAGGCTTTCACAGGCTCATACACGGCCGGGAGTAGAGCCCATAGGAGACTGAGCCTACCAAACACGACTGCTCTTTTCCCCTACCATGTCCCTTTTGACTGGAGTTCCCTTGGTGCAGACAAGTAGAAAGAGGGTCTTAGGCTGGGTGTTGGCACTCATCTTTAATCCCAGCTCTCATGAGCCATAGGCAGGTAGATCACTGTGAGCTTGAGGCCAGTGTGGTCTATAGAGCAGGTTTCAGGACAGCCAGAGTTATATAGAGAAATCCTCTAGGAAGGAAGGAAGGAAGGAAGGAAGGAAGGAAGGAAGGAAGGAAGG